CTCACAATTGCCGGTAATTCCAGTTCCAGGGCATCTGATACCCTCACATGCAGGCAAAATACCAGTGCACATAAAATAAGAATAAATAAATCATTTTAAAAAATAAGCAAGTGAAATACCTAGTAAGAGTAGAGGTGATCTGGCCGCAGCGTGCAGATCATAGGTGTGAATCTAGGCTGCTGCAAGCAAGCCAGTGACCTGACCCAGATTGGTGGCCCAGGCCAAAAAGGAAAGATACTTGTGAGAGGTACCTCGGTAAAAGAGGCAATGGGATCTCCCAACAACCTGAAAGTGGGTGATGAGATCAGCCAGGACTGATGCGGAAGTCCCTGCCTAACTTGTAAGGACTGCAGAAGTGCTGGGAAGGAAAGGCAGAGAGGGGACAAGGGAGCCAGGTTAAGGAGGTGAAAGTGAGGTCAGTGTGCACGTCTCTTACTTTGAAGTGACAGGTCGTTCACGTGAAGATACTTGGAAGTTTCTGGAGGATAGTAGACGGTACCAACCCTGACCTGCACAACTCTACCATCTCAGGCATTTTGTCTTTGTGGCAGGAATGTGTTTGCTGTTGAGAGCAGCACAGTGCTCCACCTGGAGCTGGGAGAATTTAGGGGGGTAGGTCAGCAATTTGATATTTTCTGTATTAATTTGTTTGGGTTTCCTTTGTCTTTTTATTTATATATTTAAAGACAGTGATCAGTAGTCTTTGTAGCAGAGACTAGCTTTGAACTTGAGATTCTCTTTTCACAGGCTTCTCAGTACTTGGAGTTAAAGGCACATGTCATTTTCCTTGGGTTACCTATGCATTCTTGGTTGTGAGCCTGGCCCTAAATGTCTTAACCATTTCTCCAGCCCTTACCTACACATTTTTAAACACAACTTCATAACCTTTCCCAAACGGGTCAGAAAACAGCTCTCTGGTCAAGACAAAGGTCTTGAAGCCCAGTGGCCTCCCCATTCACACAAAAGAGCTCTGGTCCTACCAGGGTAGGCCCCATAGCTGTGTTCACACTGCTTTCTCTTCAGAAATGGGGACCTGGTAGAGGCATTCCTGAGGGTGATACACAAAATATTCTTTGGCCTCCACATAGACAAATACAGATAATTTTTTAGATTTTTATTTATTTATTTTGAGACAGTCTTACCATGTAACCCTGAATGGACTGGAACTCTCTTTGCAGACATGCTGACCTTGAGCTCACAGATTCACACAGAGATCCATCCCCTTTTCCCTTCAAGGTGCTAATATATGCCCATATATTTTATAATTTTATGTGTGTAGGTGTTTTACTGTATCTGTGTATCATGTGCATGCAATTCTAACAGAAGCCAAAAGAGGGCATCAGATCCCCTGGGACTAGAATTATAGATGGTGGTGAGCCTCCATGTAGATGTTGGGAATCAAACCCAGGGCCTCTGGAAGAACAACCAATGCTCTTAACTGCTGAGCCACCTTTTCAGCTCCCACATAAGATATTTTTTAGGGTGGGGAAGGAAGCCCTTTTTTCCATTCTCCTGTTTGGATTATTTGAAACAGCTGATGAGTGGGCCATGACTGAGGTAGGAGGGTTTTACATTGAAGCCAACCTGGTCAACTTTGCTAGACCCTGCTCCCAAAAATTTTATTCCTGTTAAGACTGATGTTCAGCTGAGGGCTAAAGTGTCAGCATTGGAAATGAGCAGCCTCCGTTCATGCTGCTTTGCCACTATAAGGCAACTCAGTAAGATGGGGGCAGGGAAGGGGTGGGGCAGAAGCAGCAGTCCATGTACAGTAAGAGGAGTTTGCCATCAAAAGGCAACAAGTCTCATTCGCTGCCCCGGATGCTGACCCTTCCCTGTGGAATTCTCCCCTCTGACCTCCAGATCATTAATCCCGAGACTGCCAAATGACAGTCATCCATCACGCCTCCTGACGAGCATCCCAGCCTTCTGTGAAAGGACCTGGGCCCCTCCCTCACTCCTGTCCCCTGGTGCTCATTAGTAGCCCTTCCTGCCCAGTGCCAAGTTTCCTAATCAAGTCCCTGGCTCCCTCTCACTTCCCCTCTGGGCCAGTGGGCGGAAGCTGCTCTGACCCTCCCTCTTTCAGAGGCCAGGGAGGAGGTGGAGTGCTTACTGAGTGGGAAAAGAATTGTTGAGTGGCTTTTTATTCCCTGAGAGACCTTTATGTCCAGTATCTACTTTGACTTGTCTAGTCATAAGAGAAAAAGAAAACATGTTTCTCCATCCTGTCTCAGGAGAGAAGGCAGGCAGTCTGCATAGGAGCATGTTTTCTTAACTGTTCTCAGTACTAACAAGAATGTAAACAGGTGGATGGTCGGCAGGGCCTGAGCAGAAATTGACTCCAAAGGCTCCAGGAATGTAAGTTGCCAAACTATTAGAAATCATCTGAGATTGTATTTCTGACAACAAACAAAACACCCTCTAAATTCATCTAGATCAGAAAGGCTAAGGAACTTGCTTCAGACCACACACACACACACACCAACCCCCAAGTTGGGCCTGTCCTACTTGTTTTGGACAGAACTGGCACTGAGTCTAATTGCTGTCATGTCTAGGGCGTTAGAGTCAGAGCACACTTCTAAGAGTCACAAGCTTTGTGTGCAGCCTACTAATGGTGTGTACAGATTTGATGTCTTCTTGCTCAGCATGACTAACACAGCCCTCTGTCTTGTTGGACAATCACAGGCACTCCTATCAACCGGATTCCCATAATGGCCAAGCAGATCCTGGACCTGTATATGCTATATAAACTAGTCACAGAGAAGGGGGGCTTGGTGGAGATAATCAACAAGAAAATCTGGAGGGAGATCACCAAAGGCCTGAACCTACCCACGTCCATCACCAGTGCTGCCTTCACCCTCAGGACCCAGTGAGTAGCCGCCGCTGAGAAGGAAACTGAGCACACATTAAAATGTTTAGGCCTGAGTTGAGGAAAGGAAGAAAGGACTCAGATTCCTGAAACAGTGAGGATCCTTTGAGGTGAATCCCTCAGACCTGAAAAGATGTCCTCACCATGATTATTGTATGTCAATATTTTATTATTCTGTGTGATTTAAACCTCACAATCAGCCCTGGCAAATAGATCCATTCCCATTTTGTAGATTATAAAAACAACCCTGTGCTGATCAATTTAGCCAATGCCATACTGGGCCAGTAGACTTGAAATTCAGACTTGTGCTTCTGTCCCTACATTCTACACTTTGTCCAGCGACCCCTCTTTCCCGATGTTCAGCCTTGGGTCAGTCCAGCCTCATTTGGTCGCTGACCTGTTTTGTTACTGATTGACTAGTTACAAGGGTTGACAGAAGCAGTAAATCCAAGAGTAGTCATTTAGAATGAAAACCAAAGTGGAAAATATTCTTCTGGAATGTTCTAGCTGCTCTGTGTAAGAACAGTTGACATATCTGTCTGGTATCATGCCCTGGCCTTTATTGAAAGATGGTAAGGGCCAGGCAGTGGTGACACACATCTTTAATCCCAGCACTCAGGAGGCAGAGGCAGATGGATCTCTGAGTTTGAGGCCAGCCCGGTGTACAGAGTGGATTCCAGGAAAGCTAGGGCTATTACACAGAGAAACCCTGTCTCAAAGGAGAGAGGAGGGAGGGGGGAAGGGAAGGAAAGGAGGGAAGGAAGGAAGGGAGGGAGGGAGGGAGGGAAGGAGGGAAGGAAGTTCATAAGGATAAGGTTTGGGGGCCAGAAAGAAAGCTCGGCAGGTAGATGCTTGCTGCCATACCTGCCTACCTGTGTTCAGTACCTAGAGCCTAATCCTCATTGAAGAAGAGGACTCCTGCAAGTTGTTCTCTGGCCTCCATAACAGCACCAAGGCATGCATGCACTCATGCCCATAGTGTATGCACACACATGCACACAAAATAAGTAAACGTAAAGAGAAAGGCTTTATCCATCAGTACTATTCTAGCAGAAATAGCTGTAATTAGAATGTTAGTGTATGGGGGGAAGAATGGATCCTTGGGACAGATGAAATATATAAAGAAGGGCAGCCCTCCTGGGTCCCATCCAGTGGGAAGATTTGCTCCTTAAAGGCATTCCAAAGGCATAGAGGCCAGTGGAAAAGATTTTAGCTAAGGCCTTAAGGTTCCCTTTATGACTGATGCTTCAGATTCAAGCAGTGTGTATATCTGAGTAGCACTAGAGAAGCCTGAAGGAATGTGTGCCGTGAGCCCAGACTTCCTTTTTATTTCTGCTGTACATGCCACACTCTAGCTCTTGCCTGATCAAGGCTGCTTCCAAAGACACATCAGCTTAAACTAGACAGTCTCTGGTACTGTGTTTTATATTATTCTTCCTCCCTCTGCAGGTACATGAAGTATCTATATGCCTATGAGTGTGAGAAGAAAGCCTTGAGCTCCCCAGCTGAGCTACAGGCTGCCATTGATGGCAATCGTCGGGAAGGTCGGAGGCCCAGCTATAGCTCCTCCCTCTTTGGCTATTCTCCTGCCACTGCTGCTGCTGCCGCCGCTGCTGCTGCTGCTGCTAGTGCTGCCACTGCTGGGGCCCCTGCCCTTCTATCGCCTCCCAAGATCCGATTCTCCATCCTTGGACTTGGCTCCAGCAGTGGTACCAATGCCAGTAGCCCTCGGATATCCCCTGCATCTACTCTCAGGAAAGGTGAGCAAGGCCTTTGGAGGAGGAAAGGGATAGAGAAAGGAAGCCCAGTTTCCCTTTGTCCAGGAGAGGCATTGAGGTGGAGGGGTAAGACACTGTGGATTCAGTCTAGCTCTGTTTCCTTCTCAGGTGATGGAGTCCCAGTGACAACAGTGCCTGTGCCAAATCGCCTGGCTGTGCCTGGGACTTTGGCAGGCCAGCAGGCTGGCAACCGGACAGGCACACTGGAGCAGCTACGGGAGCGTCTTGAATCAGGGGAGCCGCCTGAGAAAAAGACATCAAGGTTGTCGGAGGAGGAGCAGCGCTTGGTGCAGCAGGCCTTCCAGCGCAACCTCTTCAGCATGGCACGGCAGCTCCCCATGAAGATCAGAATCAATGGCAGGGGTAAGCATCAGTGTGTAACTCTGCCTTTCATAATGCCTGCCACACCCCAGCTCCACTTAAGGCCCTGAGGCTGGGTGGCTGTAGTACATCCTGACCTCGCCTAGGAAACGTCCTCTCCACTCATCCTTCCATTGCCTTCACTGCCCTAGAAGACTCTAGAGGCCAGAAGAGAGCCACTGGAGGTTCCGTGCCCACCAAGATCTCACCATCCTGATGTTTTCTAGATCAGAAGTTGCTTCCAGCAATGAAGTCCTTGTACTCTAACAAAAAGGAAAGTGGTTATTCAGAGGAGACAGATGCTGTGCTCCCCCCATCCTTCCTAGCCTCTTGCTCTGTCTAAATTACAGGGTTTGTGTCCATCCCATCCACTTTACCTGATGTAGGCTGCGGTCAGGTCTGTCCCTCCTGAGAAATATCAGAGACACCAGTGACCTCAGGAATAAGAAAAGAAGTAGGCAATACAAGTTTAGCAGTACATTTGACATTTTCCCTTTTCCCCTCTTCATTTTTCTAATTTTCCACCTTTTTTTCCTAAAATACATATTCCATTTCCCTCATTCTTCTCCTGGCTCTTCCATTCAAGCCCCCTTTCTATGCCCTTGTTGCTGTGACTCTCTGTCAGCAAACATGGGCAGTTGTATGCTGGGAAGAGAGGCAGGTGTGAAAGAAACCATTGAGATTCCCAGGCAGCCCTCCTGTATAATTGGAAGAGGGGACCATTTAGAGACCAGTGGAAAAAGACAACTCACATGGAAGAATGCTTGACTCTGTAGAGGGAAGGCAAAGGTCAGAGCCAGGCAGAAGTCCTGTGTGCCAGCTGCCCCAGAGGGCAGGGAAGGCAAGGTTCTGGAGGCAAAAGATCCTTCTCCAGAGATCCTTACAGTTCAGATGGATCAGGGCCAGGAGGAGGCCAAGGTTGATTTCCAGAGCTGATGTATAATGGGAACCCAGTTAGGGTTGGCCTGCTCTTCCTTCACTCTGAGAGTCCAGGAGTAACTTGGCAGGAAGCTGGTGAGCCTGGTTCTGCTGCCAGACCTATGATGAGAGGTAATTGAGACAGAGCTACTAGTGAGTGTTAGACCACAGACCAGCTTGACTAAGCAGCACCAGAGGACAGCAGGAAGCTTGACCAGGTCTGCTGTCTCTGATTCCACAGAAGACAGAGCAGAGACTTCGACTGCAGCGCTGAACCTGACTACAAGCAGCATTGGAAGCATCAATATGTCTGTGGATATTGATGGCACCACCTATACAGGTAAGTCCTGGAGCTGTGGGGAGACCCATGCTAGCTGCCAGTCACAGTGCAGCTTCCCAGCTTGCCCTGTCTTGCTCTCTCAGATACCTTGGGGACATGCTGTGGTGAGTGTGTGTGTGTGTGTGTGTGTGTGTGTGTGTGTGTGTGTGTGTTAGGAATGGAGTTGTCCTTTTTCATTCACTCAAGATTCCTAAGATACAGAGGTCCTGGACTACAGGTGCACAGATTGATAAGATAGCCAGTCTTCTTCAACAGTGACAGGAACCCTTCCAGTCAGTGGCTGGCTTGTTGAAGATGTCATTTAGCATGAGGGTTTATTTGTCAACAACGCTACACACACTTTTCAGCTTCCAGAGAACAAGACTCCTTTCCCTGACTTATTAATGGTCTTTTTTGTTTGTTTGTTTTTGTTTTGTATGTGTTTTGAGGTGGGGGAGCAGTAAGACAGGGTTTCTCTGTGTAACTGTCTGGATCTTACTGGCTGTCCCTGGATCTTACTCTTTAGATGAGGCTGACCTTAAACTCAGATCCTCCTGCTTCTGCCTCCTGAGTGCTAGGATTAAAGGCTTGCACCACCATGCTCAGATCCATATCTTCTTTTAAAAAGTATTTTATTTTTTGTGCATGAGTGTTTCATCCATCTGCATGTATGTCTGTACACTATGTGGATGCTGGGAATCCAACCCAAGTCCTTAGGGAGAGCAACCACTGCTCCTAATTGTTGATCTATCACTCCAGCCCCATTCCCTGTCTTAAATAAACTAAGGACTATGACACTCATGTGTTGGTACCCAGGTTTTTTCCCCTTTGTTCGAGGCGCTATGCAGGGCCGATTTACCTCTGGCTTCCTGGCTTCTCTGCTCTTGCACCGGCCTGAGGGTTTAGCTTAGAAAGAACTTGGCCCTCTTTTCAACACTCATGTAGCTAGGTGTAGTAGCATATATCTGCAGCTCCAGCACTCAGATAACTAAGGCAGTCACATCATGAGTTCAAGGCCAGACTACTACAGAATGAGACCCTGTCAAAACTAAATAAATAGACCAGTAGTGAATCTGAGTGCTGCAGAAGCAGCCTTGATCCTGCTTGATCCTGTGGGACCTTGCTGTTTTTCAATTGTATCTTCCTAACCTTTCCTAACCTAATTGCTTTTTTTTTTTTTTTTTTTTTTTTTGAGACAGGGTTTTTCTGTGTTGCTTTGGAAGCCTATCCTGGAACTAGTTCTTGTAGACCAGGCTGGCCTCAGACTCACAGAGATACGCCTGCCTCTACCTCCCGAGTGCTGGGATTAAAGGTGTGCGCCACCACCGCCCGGCTGCCTGCAGTATTTTTGTAGCTGGTTGGGTTTGCATCTGTAACTAGCAATCTTTCAAAGTCAACATAGAGTTCACACAGGCAACAGACCCAACCCTGAATCCCTGACTATTCCATTTGTTTGGGGACAGACTTGGGTGCAAGCTCAGGCTGGGTGACATCTGCCTGCTTTTACCAGGGCATTGGGGTGTGTTGGCTGCCTGGTGAGAGCATCCATGTGCAGACCAGTAAAACTTTTCATTCTAACCAGAGTATTTCCCTAGGAATAGCCCCTGGCCACCTGCCACAGCATCAGAATGCAGCCAGGAAAGAATGCATTCAGGAAAGGTTCCTAGAAACAGCCGTGCCACTGTGGCTTGCCAGTCTCTTGTGTTGTCCTGGTACCCTGTGCCCATTCATGATGTGGCTTGGGATATCTGGTTTGAGACCTGAAGAAAACAGGAACTGGGAGTTATGGCTAGATCTCAATATCCTCTTGTCATTTTCCTAGGACAAAGATGTGGGTAACTTTCTCCTTTGCTCTCAGAGAAAGTCAGGAGTTGATGCTCCCAACACTCTGACAATGGGCCTCTCACCTGTCTTGACCCTGTCTGCCCCAAGCTTTCTCAGTTGGGATGTGGTGTCCAGGAACCTCAGGTGGTTCTGAGACTCAGGGCTACCATCCTCCATTAGCTCCCTTCTGCATTGCTGCTTCTCACGCCTGTGCTTGTTGTCACTGCTAGGCCAACTCCTCTGCGGGGTTCCTAGGACCTGAGCATCCTCATTCTCTGACCTTCCAGAGAGCATCCTGAGTTCCAAATGTCTTGATGCCCTTCTGCTTAAAACTTTCAGGGCCTCCAAATGGGTTCCTATAGTTATTCAAGGCCCCACTCACCTCCTTAGCCCCTTACTCTACTGTTGCCTAAACCATTTACACACCTCCACTAGCCCCAGTGGCATAGCCTCTCTTGTTGCTTTGTCTCAGGTTCCTTGGTCACCATCTCTTCAGTTTGCTGCTTTTTCTCTTTCAAGGAATCTAGATGCACACGTTCCACCTGTACTTGTGTTCCTTTCTCTAAAACCCTTATGATGTTCCCAACAGCAGAGCTACATCAGGCTCAGAACATTTATGGCATTCTAGCAAAGACATTGGTTACATGCCTGTCCTTCAGCAGCTATGACCTTTTGATGGCAGGACAGTTGTCTGGGCTTCCACTGACAGCTGGAGCATGGTAGGAGAATGGAGCACACAGGGTTAGGCCAACAGTCATGTCTTGTATAATTGAACTGAGCCCATACTGCTTCTTCTCCCACCCCAGGTGTGCTATTTGCCCAGAAACCAGTGGTCCACCTCATTGCAGGCTCTGCTCCCCAGAGCATTGGCAGTGGCACCACCAGCAGCAGCAGCACCAGCTCTCACTGCTCGCCAAGTCCTACCTCATCCCGGGGCACCCCCAGTGCAGAGCCCTCCACCAGCTGGTCCCTCTGATGAGCAGCACCCAGCACCCATTCCCTACTCTCCTGCAGAGATTAAGGGAGATTGATGCACAGAATTTACCTCATCTCATGGAGCCCACATCAGATACCATCTGGCCAGATGTTGAATTTGGAAGTGTTCGTCTGTTCAGGCTCCATTCAGGTTCTGCTGTACTCTGGGGACAAGGAGAGACTTGGGGGGAGGGGCAGGGGCAGGACAGAGCAGCGTTGTCCAATCAGGGATTGTCCTGGAGAAGTGGGTGGGGTATCTGAGCATCCAGCTTCCCCAGGGTTCCCAACCACTCCCCATTCCAGAGCAGTGTATCGACAATCTGTAAGGCGACATGGGGCTGGAGGCTTTTCATTTCCCTTCCCCTTAATTTATTTCCCTTTTGCTGCCTTCTGCCTTCACCCCAGGATCACCAGTCTCTTAGTCTGTTCAGTCCCCCAGTATTTAAGTCCCATTTGGGGCTTTAGAAGCAGGAGCTTGTCTTCCTTGCTCTAATCTTTTGAGCATGGGATGAGTGGGCCTTCCCAGTCCTTCTTGCTTATTGCTTAATTCTTTGGGCATGAGTCTCTCAATCCAAGTCTTAACTTCAGTCCTCAGGGCCCTGGAATATTCCCTTTGTTGTTCTAAGAAAAAAACCTGTGAAGGGCAAGCTTCAGGTTCAGGGCCTCTGCACATGAAAAGGAAGAAGAGCTCATGGTGCCCAGGCCCTGGGACCTACCTGACAAGACTCCATTTAATCCCTAAACCTCATCTCCCTGCCTACCCATGTTGACCAGCTCTCCCAAGATAATACCACTTGTCTCTGGCCCCTTCTGTCGTCTCTTGGGGCCATTTCAGCCCTACCAGCCCCAGACATGCTGATGTCAGGCTCACAGAAATACCTCAGATTTGTAATTGTTGATATTTGATTCTTCAGGAAGTATTTGCATCTCTGTAATCTTTTTTATATATGTTTTGCTGACTTTAATTTTTTAATTTTTATTGTTGTTGCTGTTGTAGCACCAAAGAAATGAAAGCAGATCACCCCAGCCGGGTGCGGTGCAGCCAGCCTCCCTCCAACCTGCCCATGCTCTGGCCAGGAGGTGGAGCAGGTGGGGTGACTCAGGGATCGCCACAGCAGGAGGATGGGGTGGAGGGACCCATGCTTGCTGGTGGATCCTGAAATCACACTGGTTCTCTCTGCCCTTAACCCCAGCTGACAGAACAGGGCAGGGTTTCTTTCTGCCCTTGGAGCCCTCGCCTTGGGACATAGGAAATGGCTGTTGGCCCTGCTTAAGGCTGAGCCCCAGAACTGAGAGCTCTGCCTCCTCTTAGCATGTAGCTGGAACAGGCCACTGTGATAGAGAAAGGCTGGTCTTCACCAGGACTCCATTCTCATCCCAGTGTGCTCTACCCTGTTACATAAGGCATCACCTGCTGGGACTACTCGGGTCGTGGCAGTGGAGACCACCCCATGGCCCAGCAGTCCTATCTAGGACAAGAAAGGGAAAGCAAAAGCTTATGCACAAATATACCTCAACCTGGCAAGCGCCACACTGCTGACTGCTCCTCTCCCTGCCCCAGGACACACATACTCAGTAACTCACACACATTGACACACACATAGCTCTTATACTGGGATCTGACCCTCTTCTGGCCTCAGAAGCCTTACCCACCAGGCACATGCAGGGTTGGGCAGAGGACGTCTGGGTTCTGATGCTGTGAGAAGGCTATTTGGCCAGTGTGTCTCAGGATTTAGTCATGAAGGATAGACCCTTCCTATCCAGGGGAAACAGGGACAATGCAGGTCTTTTTGGTCATCGGATCTCCTTTCTCTTTCCCCAGGCAGCTGTCCACCTGTCCCTCTCCATGCCCCTCACTTCCCTCAAGCCAGCAGCAGGCTCCTAGCCAGAAAATGCAAGAGCTGGGTGCCCATGTGTGCCCAGCATTAGGGCTCTGGCCCAAGTGGAGCTTCTCCTGCAGGCACAGTCCTGAAAGTTATGTGGCAGGACAGCATCCCTCTTTTCATGTCTTGTATGTATTCTAACCAGAAAAAAAAAAAATGTGATAGCACATGGTAGCCTAGGCCGTGAATGAATACCTCAGACGTCCTCTCACAGCAAGTGTCCGTACATGTTGTGGTTATTTTCTGTCTTACATGTTCTTGAATGTTTATATTTCAATAAAGCTCTACCTCTTCACATGAGTAGGTCTAAGTTTCTTTCGCTTGGTTTCTTGCACTTGACAAGGTCCTTCAGAGGGAAAGGGGGTTTCATCTACTTTCCCAAAGGCTTGACCTCTATTTCTCTGCTGTGC